AATTATGTAAGTAAATTTACTAATAAATAAATAAATAAATAAATAAAATAAAAATTTTCTTCTTTTTTAGCAGAACAAAAATTTGCATTAATTGAAATTAACAACCCACAAACTATTACCAAATTAATATAAAATATAAAAATATAAAGACTTAAACTAATGTTGGTGGTCGCTCCAGTTGATTGGAGAAATGAGAATATATGATTTTTTTTTATTACTTTTGTTTAAACTGCCTCTTGTTATGATTGGAATAGAATTCCTAGTTATAATAGCACTGATGAAAAAGAGCTTAGTCGATGTTATAAAGTTATAGTTGGGTACAATAAGATCCTTTGATCGCTCAGACTTCGGGAATATTAATTTCTCATAGAGGTAGAAGGGCGTCTTTGTAGAGATAAGCCGGAAGAGAAAAATACAGCTTCTTGCCTTTAAGTAGTCCTGGAGTTCATATCATAACAGACTTGCCCTCCATTTCGATATGTGATCAAACTTTTTTAAGCCGTACATATACCGAGTTACATGATTAATTACCACACTGATCTTATGAGCCGATGCAGAGTCTAGCTTATTATAAACCAGCTCGGAATAGGTAATAATAGGAACAATTAGTTGAATTGCTAACTGTCGTCTAGTGCCTACTGGAGTAAATTCCGCAGTTTGACGTAAATTTCTTAGCGCACCATAACAGAATTAATATGGCCCTTGCAACTTAAGCTCGAATTAACGACAAATCCCAGGTTTGGGGTTAAAACACACGATTTCTAAATTGGACTGAGTTCAGCTTACTAACGCCGCTTAGGTTAATTTAATTTGTGTTCTTGGCTTTTTTTCCTATGTGCATTGTAGCATCCCAAGATTTCTTCTCAATAGCTGCCTTTTTTCCGTCGTTCCGACCGTTTGTAAATTATCAACGGAGTCCGTAGTGTAAGGAAAGTTGTTTCCCTGTGACTAGTCTCTAGATCTCGTAATAATCACTGGGTGTTACGCTTCAGTAACTCCCATAAGCTACGGGCGACAGCACTGTAAACTTTTCTGATCCAAATTCGATATTCTGACTGGAGAATTGATTTGGTTTGCACCGCACAGATACCTGCAATGGAAACTTTCAATTACCATTAGGATACGAAGGAGAAATACCTCTAAAAATTCGGGTATACCGTGGCGGCGGCGGTATGACAAAAATGGATAGTGAAATTTTTAAAACTGAAAATGTTACATGAGTAAGAAGGAAGATCATCTTCCACGCGCATGCATACGAGTACCTACTCTGCAGCAATTCGAACTGGTTCAGAACATGCGCTGAGCTAGCCTGAAAAGAGACGGTACTGGTTCTTCATCTATCCCAACTCAATGGACATGGCGATGTCCTACGAAGTGACAATTGTCGCCCTCTGCAGAACTTTTGAACTTGTTCTGAGCTGACTCTGGCTTTGACGCTTCTGAGACAGTTCATAAAACAAGAGTTCCTAGATACTTCAAAAAGGTCACCTCCGGGCTAGAACAAATGTGGCTAGTTTTGAGCTGGTTCTAAGAAGTATAGTATAGAGCCTTTTCTTTTTTGTAAATACTGTAACGATCAGCCTGCCATATTAACAGACAGCGTCAAACCCTTTTATACTGCATCAAACAGCCTCTATTAAAATGTTGCAATGGGACTTGCTCGAAGATAGTTATTTGTGTTTAGGGATGGCTTTGTATGTGTGTGTAAATGTCCGAGATGTAAAAGCGCGCGAGTGTATGTTCTTGTGTGAGTGTTGAGTGAAAGTTGTAGCAGAAGAA